TGAGGGGAATCACTCACGACAACAACACCAACAGGGTCAGTCGGGGCCTTTTCTTGTCCCTGTAGAGCTTCAGAACTGGTTTCCTCTGAACCGCCTGCCGGGTGCGTCTCGGCTTGAGGGATATGTTGGCCGTTAGCCAGCTCGGGGACATCATCCAATACTTCCTCAGTGGCCTCTCCAGCCCGAAGTCAGACCACGACGACATCAAGCCCCGGCTGGGGAGCCATCGTCTCTCCGGCGTGAGGTCGGTCGGGTTTTCCCTTCCTTCGGACGCTATCAAGAAATTAATTTCTCCCTCGCCTTCAGCTCGGGGACTTCTCGCTGCTTTTGGGGCTAAGGCTACTGGGTCGGCCTCAGTTTCACCCATCTTGGTTTTCTTGGATCCTGAAGGTTCATTCGATGGACCCCTTTGTCTTTTCTTCCCTTCGTCGAGTCTCAAGGTATCCTCTTCGCCAGGCAATATTTCCTTCATCAAGGAAACCTCCCCCAGACCTACACGAATGCAAGAAGTGAGCACAGGGAATAAGGACGCCATCAGTAGCAATTCAGATTAAAAGGTATGACTGCAGCAAGAGTAAAAGCTAACTGTGATCCTTGGCTTCCCATCTTGAGCTTGGGACAAATCACGCCACACTCGCTCAGCGTATGGGCAAATCGAGTCCAGCCGATCGATCCAGCCCGAGAGGTCCGTAACCGCACCGGGATAAACTGCTACGGCTACATTAGCAGAAGAAATTAGCGCGTGGAAAGATGTACCCAAAGAAGTAAGGAGATGCTAGATAACGTATCTACTTACGTTCCATGTTCCATCTCTCGGGGAACGGCATCCTTTCCGCCGGAATCAGGTCCGAAGTCCTAACTCGGACAAAATAGCTCATCCACCCTCCGTTCCTGACTTCATCGATGCAAGCAAAAAGGGCCCTCGAAGCTCGACAGTGGAGCTTAATCAGGCCCCCACGGAAGAGACGGGGGTTGTACATCCTGACCAGGTGGTCGAGGGTAAAGGGTATCCCCCCAGTCATGTTCACATAATACATGATCATATCAACGCGCCAGAACGAAGGGTGAATCTGGCCGAGGGTCACTCGATACCGCCGGCAGAAGTCGAGAACCACAGGATCTATCGGAGGCGAGGATGGCCCCACCGGCCCAAGGGTGAACGGGTAAGTATACACACTGAGAAAATCAGCTTTATATGTCGTTATATCCTCCTCCCGAGAAGGGACCTCCACGAGCACCGCGTCCCCCCAGCGGCAATCAACCCTCACTTTTTTGACGTCTGTTATTGAGCTAATATATTGACACACGGGCTCACGGCGCCCCGGCTTCGAAGAAGGTTTTTCGACCTTGAAATCGGAAGTCGTTGCAAAGGACCTTGGAACGCATTCCTCAGCACGATGAGGCACTACTGCTTTGCCTTTAGACGAAAGTGAGGAGGAGGAGGTTACATTCTCCTGAGAAGCAGAGGCGGAAGTTTTCACCATTTTTAAAAGATTTCAGAGGAGAAAAAGTAAATTGCGCTTCAAAGAAAGAACAATAAGTGAGCAATGAGGAACGAGAGAAGATGTATTTATATAGGCCCAATACGCACAATGAAGGAGGCCAAAGGACAGCCAGCCGCAGTAATCAATGCGAATGCTTTTAAGGGTTGTGTGTGCTCGACCTTTTGGTATCTTATTCTATCATGTCGGTCATTTCGCAAGATATGAATGCCGTCTTTACGAAAGTACCAGGGGGAAATGAATTTGAGGTCGTTTCTTATCGTTTCACTCTAAGAAATGCGGGGACTATCTTGTACGGACAGGATCGGGAGGCCCGATTCCGTGATCATTGCGCCTCTCCCTTAGCCTCAAAAAGGCCCCGAAGATCCGGGGACGCAGCAAAAGAGCTTCGACCTCGAAGGCTCTTCACACTCGACCTCGGCGCAGCATGAGTCTGTGATTATCGAAGGTAAGCGGGAAGTTCCCTAGGTATGTGGACCGAACTGACATCACCTGCAAGAATATTACCAGTCTACGCTAGATTACTAGGTAGTTGTGCCAGCTATCCTACTTTGTCATAAATGTTTTTGTACTTTGATTGGGTTGTAATAAATGTTTTTGTACTTTGATTGGGTTCTCCTACATATAAAAAGAGGGGTCCTTATCATCTTAGACACCTGATGCTCAATATTGAATACAAAGAACATTCTCTCTGCTCTCTAACATATTCTCCTAAGCTCTTTACGTCCATTTATTGCTTACAATATTCATTGTGTTCTATTTATTGTTCTTCATTTATTGTTTTTCATTGATCATAAAGAGACATTATCATAGCTCTCGTAAAGTGTTAACCCTCCTTCGATCGCTCTAAGCCAATCGTCCAACTCGACCCCGAGGCATTATAAACGATAGCTCGAGGCTCTGATCTCCAACTGTTTGGTTCGATTATCATACCGTCTCTAAGCTGCAATCTTGATTTCTAATCTTTTACTTAGCATCCATTGCTTAACAACTAGCATAAAAATAGATCACGTATTTTTAGAATCACAAAATCAAATTTAATTGTAATTACCATTTTCAAGGTAAACAGTGTGACCTTCATTAAAAAAAACAAAAATTGCTTTTGATAATGGTTTATCCAAAACATTAATGCTATGCTCAGCATATCGTATGTAAACAAATCTTTTATTGCACTAAGACCTGCATAAAGAGCTTACTCCATGTCATAATAATATAATTAATCCCTTTGCAGTAAGACAAAGTCTATTGCAGCTGAATCTAATTTGAAAGATCAATAGAAAATATCTGACATATGAGAACAGATGTTGGAAACCATGCAATGCTCTACATGGAAAACTTATCTTCAAAATAGTTACTGGGGACCATTTTTACAATAAATTCTCAGTTCGGCAAAACGCAAATAAGGGGGATAGAGATTAAATTGGTTAAGGGTTACTACAAAACAACTTTAGTTTTTGCAAAAGTCTACTTTTATGGTTATTTTTAATATTTATGATTCTGGAAAAGAATATTTAGTAAATTTAATGAGGTCTTAAGACCGCGCTAAGCGCGGATAAATTTACTAGTGACAAAATAAATAGTGAGGAATTACAAATCTATCACCATATACGGAAATTGGTATTGAACCTCTAGTGGCATGGGAGGCTAATTCTACCTTCGAAGAAACACGAATTACGCTAATCAATTCCTCAAACACGTAACAATTGTAAATGATAAAGAAAAGAAACCTGCACGAACCAAAACTTTGACAAAATAAAACAAAACAAAAGAATCAAATTAAGCAGATTAATCAAGGAAGATTAAATACAAGCATCCTCTCTATTCAGCTAGGTAGTTTGATAATATTGTTTCCACATCTTGATGGTCATGTCAGCTTCACATGTAATAAGTCTTGTTCCAGTTACAGCATAGGTGAGAGCGTAAATACCAGCCTCAGTATCCAACGACCCAGGTTGAACCTGGGTTTGGGTTCGCTGGATATTGTGACCACTTCTCCAATCCGAAAACCACAAGCTTCCGTTGTCACCTCCTGTGGCCATTACACCTTCATCATTCACCGCCATGGCATTAATTATGGTCTTCTCTTCGGACACCATATTATGCAAAAAATCTCCTCTTGGAAGATTGAACTTTTTTATGCTGCCATTTGATGCAGAAGCAAAAGAACAATCTTCCTTATAGGATGCTGACACATGGCTCGAACGGATTTCTTGTGATGTGTGAGTGTTTTCATTGCCTTACCATATCTAAGGTCCCAGAACTTCATGGTTGAGTCATTAGAGCCAATTATAACCTGAGGGTCTGTCGGCCTAGCTAAAACAGAGCAAACAGTGTTATTGTGCCCAGAAAAAGCATGAATTTATGTTTTGCTCCGGATATCCCAAACCCTGCAGGTAGAATCACCACCCCCTGTATACAAGATGTCAATTGTAGAATGAAGAGCCAAGCAGCAAACACCGCTTAGATGGCCATGATAGGAGCGAATCACCTTATTTTGTTCGAGATCCCAGCATTTAACTTGTTTATCATCGCCAGCAGAAAACAAGTATGGATGTCTGTTGCTAACTGCAAGGCCTTTTATCTGTCCAATGTGACCTGTTAATGTGAGCTTTAACCTACCACTTGCTAGGTCCAATATCTTGATAGTCCGATCTGCTGATCCGGTACAGAACCAATTATTACTCGGATCCACTCTAACTGTTGTCACCCATCCCAAATTGCCGCTAATAACCCTGTAAACTTTCCACATTGAGCGTTGCGACTTGGTCGCTATTCTTTTACCCATGATGGCAAGAAATCTAGCGAAAGAGATGTCAAGAAATCTACCAAAAGATATGGCAAGAAGTCTAACAAAAGAAATGGCAGGAAATCGAACAAACGGAGATACAAGCGAGGTTTGATTTCTTACTCAATACTTAGTTCATAATAGTGCCCCATATTTATATTAGTACAGTACAGAACCCAGGACTAGAAAACATATTTATATTATGACTAGGAAACCTATTCAGATTATGACTATAAAATCTATTTAGAATTGAATTAAATAAACTACTAGTAACAAGTAACGAATCCTAGACAGTTTAGGAATTATACTCATAATTTAATTCCTAAGCAACTTAGGTGATACAAGTTAGAAGAAGCAGGAAGCGAGCAGAAATGGGAATCAACTAACTTTGCTGACATGGCAAAAGTTAGTTATTAGTTAGTTAAGAGTAGTTAAAAGTTAGTTAGGTCTAGAATCTTCCTAGAGTCAATCCTATATAGTTGAGTGAATTGTAACTAATGAAATCAATGAATGATCATCATAATTCTCTTCCTAAATCTCTTCTACATTTCTTAGCTAAATTCTCGCAAGTTTGCTTGGTTAGCTAGCACCTTCTTCGAGCTTAGCTCCTAGATTGAATATAATCCGCTTGATTGTGTTGCATCAATTGGTATCAGAGCTCACGATCCTTGGCAATTGGATTCATGACGCGAAGTAAAAATTCAGAGAAAAACATGGAGGAATTGGATGAAAAACTAACTGCCATTAACGAGCAGTTGCAGAAATTGATGGATGGGATGATGGTTATCAGTGAGCACAATGTGCAGACTGATAAGGAGTTACTGGAGTTGAAGGAATCCATGGGAATGATGAATCAAAAGGGAAAGGAAAAGGAAACAATGAGAGCTGAATCATCAAATATCAGAATTGGATCGATGGATCCTCAACAGGAAGGCAGAGGCAGAGAAGTTCAGCAAGGTATGAATCATAGTAGCAACCATCTCACTCGATATTCTAAACTGGAATTCCCTAGATTTGCTGGAATAGATTTAAAAAATTGGTTGTATAAGGTCGATCAATTCTTCTCTATGGATGAAGTTGCTTTTGATCAAAGAGTTAAGGTAGCTTCTATCCATTTTGATGGAGAGGCCATTGCTTGGCATAGATCATTCATGAGATCTAGGAATTCTGTGCTAGATCCCACTTGGACTGAGTATGTGTTGGCATTGAATGAAAGGTTTGGAGATGGATTCGAAGATCACATGGAGGCATTGAAAAATCTGCAACAAACTGGTAGTGTTAGGGAATACCAGGCAGAATTTGATAGACTTTTAACTGGTGTTAATTTGTCCAATGAAAATGCAATCAGTTATTCCTTGGAGGCTTAAAAACAGAATTGAACAAATCTGTTAGAATTCAATCCCCCAGAACCTTGTTACAAGCTTATAAGATTGCTAGGTTACAAGAAGAAGTGTTTGAAGCTCAAGCTGAATCATGGGGATTTAAGCCTAGATTGAGTGACAGTTCTGGCCTTTTGCCTAATCCCAATAACAATAAACTCCAATATAACCCAAAGAGCCAAATACCAAACTCCACTATCAAAAAGCCTTTTGAACCTAATTTTACAAAAAACAACAGACCTTATGGGAGGAGTTTGACTGTAGCTGAAATGGATGAGAAAAGATCCAAGGGTCTATGTTTCTTTTGTGATGAAAAGTATACACCAGGCCACAAGTGTAAGAACAACAAGCAATTGTACTTAGTAGAAGTGAAAAGAAAGTGAAGAGTTAGAGGTGGATGAGGTAGAGATGACAACTGGAGATATGGTAGACTCAAATGAGTTTATGGATATATCACTGCAAGCCTTTACAGGTGCAGCAGGGTATCAGACCATAAGAGTCACTGTTACCATGAGAAAAGACCATTGCAGGTGTTGATAGACACTGGGAGCACTCACAACTTTATTGATGAATTAGTAGCTGCTAAATTGGGCTGCAAAACTTGTTCAATTCAAAGACAATCTGTTAGTGTTGCAGATGGTAGGAAGGTGCAGACTGCTTCAGTTTGTAAGGATATGAAATGGTTACTGCAAGGTACCACCTTCTCCTCTGACTTTTTATTACTACCATTGGGGCAACACAGATATTGTATTGGGAGTTCAATGGTTGAATACTTTAGGAAGGATATTGTTTGACTTCAAAAAAAGAACAATTGAATTCATATACCAGGGAAAGAAACATGTTTTGAGGGGTGCTAATGACCAACTTAAGACTGCTAAGGTTAAGAGTTTGGTTAAGAAGAGTAGTGATGAAGCTCAATTCTTTATAATGTCCTTAGATAGTGAGGCTAGTGGTATTCATTGCCACAGTATACAGGCTATACCCAGAGCTGATCAATTGCCAGAATTAGCAGCTCTCATTAAACAGTATGATAGGGTATTTGAACCACCTACTACACTACCACCTCATAAGGGCTCTTTTGATCACAGAATTCCTCTTAAGGAAGCTTCCAATCCTGTGAATAAGAGACCTTATAGGTACCCTGGGATTAAAAAGGACATAATTGAGAAGTTGGTACAAGAGATGTTGGATCAAGGGGTGATTCAGCTCAGCTGTAGTCCTTATGCTTCTCCAGTAGTTTTGGTGGGAAAGAAGGATGGTAGCTGGAGGCTTTGTGTTGACTATAGGAGTCTCAATCAAATGACCATAAAGGATAAGTTCCCTATTCCTATGATTGAGGACCTATTGGATGAATTACATGGTGCTAAGGTATTCTCAAAAATAGACCTCAGGGCTGGTTATCATCAATTGAGAATGGCTGAAGGGGATATCAACAAGACTGCCTTTAGGACTCATGAAGGACACTATGAATTTTTGGTTATCCATTTGGCTTGACCAATGCTCCTTCTTCTTTTCAAAGTCTGATGAATGCTATTTTCAAGCCGTTGCTAAGGAAATCAGTGTTGGTATTTTTTGATGATATTTTGATCTATAGCAAGGATGTAGATACTCATGTAGTTCATGTAAGAGCTGTATTAGAGCTGATGAAGCAGCATCAACTGTATGCTAAGATGTCAAAGTGTGCTTTTGAAGTAGCTAAGGTGGAATATCTTGGCCATTTTATTAGTGCTGAAGGTGTAGCAACAGATCCTAAGAAGATTGCTGCTGTGCAAGATTGGCCTATACCAGTCAACATTAAACAACTGAGAGGATTTTTAGGCCTTACAGGCTATTACAGAAGATTCATTCAAGGCTTTGGAACCATTTGCAGACCTTTGCATGATTTGCTGAAAAAAGATAGTTTTGTGTGGAGTAATGAGGCTACTGTTGCTTTTAATGCTTTAAAGCAAGCCCTAGTTTCAGCTCCTATGTTGGCTATGCCAGACTATACTAAGCCATTTACTATTGAAACAGATGCTAGTGGGAAGGGGATAGGCGCTGTACTTATGCAGCAAGGTCATCCTATTGCCTATATAAGCAAGTCTTTAGCTCCCAGACATCAAGCTTTATCAGTTTATGATAGGGAACTACTTGCACTCATTTTTGCTGTTACTAAATGGTCACATTATCTAATGGGCAACCATTTCATAGTGAAGACAGATCAGAAAGCCTTAAAGCATTTGTTAGAGCAACAGATGCATACTGACTTTCAGGTGGCTGGGATCTCCAAGTTGATGGCCTTGGATTTCACTATTGAATGTAAGAAGGGAGCTGAGAATAAAGCTGCAGATGCCTTATCAAGAAAACCAGATGCTGAGTTATTGGCTACCTCATTATTGACTCCTCATGAATCTATTTTGACACAAATTCAGTCTTCATGGAGGGAGGATCAAGATCTGCAAGATCTGATAGCTAAATTGCAGAATCAACCCCATAAGTCATATACTTGGATCAATAATCAACTCAGGTGGAAGGGCAGATTGGTTATTGGCAATAATCAGCAACTGAAGAAGCACATCATTACATTGTGGCACAGCACTACACAAGGTGGGCATTCTGGTATGGATGCTACTATTAAAAGGTTGCAGTCCTTATTCTATTGGAAAATTTTAGTGGCAGATGTTAGGGACTACATTAACAGATGTGATGTGTGTCAAAGGCATAAGTATGATGCTGCTGCTTTACCTGGATGGATACAGCTCTACCTATTCCCACAGGAGTATGGACTGACATTTGTATGGATTTTATTGAAGGTCTTCCTAAGTCACAGGGTAAGGAGGTTATTTTGGTGGTGGTGGATAGATTAACTAAGACTGGCCATTAAGTTTGCAGCACCCTTATAGTGCTCAAACTGTAGCTCAATGTTTCCTTGATCAAGTCTTTAAACTGCATGGAATGCCACTCACTATAATAGTGATAGAGATCCAATATTTCTGAGTTCTTTTTGGCAGGAACTCTTTTCAGTACAGGGTGTACAATTGCAAAGATCTACTGCATATCACCCTCAAACAGATGGTCAATCAGAGGTGGTAAATAGAACCTTAGAGACATATCTAAGGTGTTTTTGTTCAGATAGTCCTAAAGATTGGGCTAAGTATCTCTCCTTGGCAGAATGGTGGTATAATACCACCTATCATTCCACCATTAAATGTACTCCCTATGAAGCCTTATATGGTCAGAAACCTCCTATTCATTTGCCTTACCTAAGTGGTGATACAGATGTAGAAATGGTTGACAGAACATTAGAAGCAAGAGAAGCTATTATTCAGTTATTGAAGTTCCATCTGGCTAGAGCTCAGCAGAGAATGAGGGATACTGCTAATAAACATAGATCTGAGGGGTTATTTGAAGAAGGAGAATGGGTGTATCTCAAACTACAACCTTATAGGCAGATATCAGTAGCCACCAGACCTTTCAATAAATTTGCTGCCAAGTATTATGGACCCTATCCTATTGCTGCAAAGGTGGGACCAGTTGCCTACAGGTTGCTCATGCCTGCTGATGTCCTTATTCATTCCACCTTCCATGTTTCACAGTTGAAAAAGTGTCATGAAGTACCTCATGTTATCAACCATCCTCCTGTACTTCAGTTATCCAGTCCTCATTGTCCTCAATCAGAAGAGATATTGGCTCGCAGGATGGTTAAAAAGGGGAATAAGGTTGTGTGTCAAGTGAAGGTTAAATGGTCGGGCTTGGAAGCTGATGCTGCTACCTGGGAGTTTTTGCAGGAGCTTCAAACCAGGTTTCCTACCTTTAATCCTTGAGGTCAAGGATTGTCTTGAGGGGGAGGTATTGATACAAGTTAGAAGAAGCAGGAAGCGAGCAGAAATGGGAATCAACTAACTTTGCTGACATGGCAAAAGTTAGTTATTAGTTAGTTAAGAGTAGTTAAAAGTTAGTTAAGTCTAGAATCTTCCTAGAGTCAATCCTATATAGTTGAGTGAATTGTAATCAATGAAATCAATGAATGATCATCATAATTCTCTTCCTAAATCTCTTCTACATTTCTTAGCTAAATTCTCGCAAGTTTGCTTGGTTAGCTAGCACCTTCTTCGAGCTTAGCTCCTAGATTGACTATAATCCGTGATACTTGATTGTGTTGCATAATTAGGATTTTACATCATCAGTTAATGAAACAAAAACTCATATTTAGACTAATGAATTATCCGGTCCCGTAAGCCGTTAATTAGAAGTACAAGAGGCTGTTTCGTTTTATTTCTATTTTACTTTTTTGCTTTATTTTTTTCTTTTCCTACTGCTTGGAATGACTACCTGATTTTCTTTCGTTTTGTTTTTTTACTTTTTTTATTTTACTGTTTCGTTTTAGACATAAGGATTTTGATATAATCAAAGATACACAAACTATTACTGTTCAGAAAAACTCCTTCAGGCCTAGTTTAATCAAGTAATACGAATTAAATAGTTATATTGCTTGAAGGCAAATTTATAAAAAAAAAAAAATAATAAAATAAAATTAAAAAAAAAAAAAAAAGTTACCTCCCTGTTCACCCAATCCCCTCCGCCACCCCCCACCACCCCACCCCCACCACCCAAAAAAAAAAAGAAAAAAGAAACATGACTGACGAAAATAAAGGAAGAAGGAAGCGTATTTTATTTATTTAGCTCATGTTTAAATTTCAAAACTTTTTCGAAATAAATAAAACCCAAAACCAATTGTAGCATTTCTTTTAGCTGACCAGGCGTAATAATTCCATTTTGAATATTCTTTTTGGGGTTAACCCAGAAATATTCTTTTTGTAAAAGTATAATATGACTGAGGAAAGTATTTCTACGTTAAAAGGGGAAGTGGAGTTACTAAAATACATTTTAAGTTTTGAGTATCAAGGGATAGATTTTTGAGAAATTAACGTAAATAGTCATCCACTAAAAAATAGTTGATATATGTATTATTTTTGGCCGAGCAACTAAATGCGCCAAAGCTTTTTTGGTAGAGTAATATGATTCAAAATTGTATTTATCTCATCCACTCTTACTTCATTTGTATTTTCGTCAAAGAAAAAGGTTCAGAACCTTACAAGTAGGGCATATCTGTCGTATTCTTCAGAAATACTCAGTGTAATTAAATTAATATTATTAACGTAACACTGCATTAGTGATCAAAACACTGAAGGAGCCTCAGCAAAGACAAAAAATAGTCGAGCATTATAAATAAAGACTTCAGTGTCTGCGGTCAGCAGTATGTATTATTTTCAAACTGTATAGCTTATTAAACAACAGACATCCTAAAAAGAGAAGTATTTTTAGTAATCAAGGGACTATTTGCAATCATAGAGCTTACAACTATTACAAATATAGCCTATACAGCTATTTGAATTAGATTACTTATAAGCATTTTCAATTTTCAAGGTCTTTGGGATTAAAAAAATTCCATAGATACTCAATCGGAAAGCACATATATATTGATGCATCTCCACCGAAAAGCAGTTAAGTGTTCAAATTAGATAATAGCTAATTATTACTGATACACTTTGCTAGTTGTCATCAAAGAAGATTTATCTTATAAAAATTTCAACAACAATAGCTAAAATTCGGATAATATTCTTCTAGGCAAATATGATTCAATCCAACAATTAATTTTTTAAGCTTGATTGCTTAACTATTTATTGAAGATTTCTTCATACAATTATAATGAAGAACATGAAGGAATCAACTAAGAAACTTAGAAAGAAGAAGAAGAAGAACAGAGATGAAGCAGAGAGAAGAAATAGCAGACGGAGTGATAGAGGAAGAGTTTGATTTCATTATCTTAAAAAGTGTTTCTGTACAAAGTGTAATTCATATATTTATACTAGTGTACTAATTATGTAGTTATAGTTAAGTAGTTCACTAACTAACTAACTACCAACTCCCTAACAAGTATTAGTTGGTTATTTAACAGCTTTTAGCTAAAAGACTAATCTGCCCTCACATTACATTATTTAATACTTCCCCTCAAACTAGGTGGTGAAATATTGATCACACCTAGTTTGGATTTCAAATACTCATGCTGAACTTTGGTTAGACCTTTTGTAAGGATATCTGCCGGTTGATCTATTGTTGCAATGTACTTGGTGTTGATAAGACCTTGTTGAATTCTTTCTCTCACAAAATGGCAATCGATTTCAATATGCTTAGTTCTCTCATGATAAACTGGATGTGCAGCTATTTGTATTGCTGCTTTACTGTCGCTATAGATGTCAATAGGCAGCTGAATCTTTGTATCAACTTCAGTCAGTAGACCATACAACCAAATAAATTCAGCTACTGTTGTAGCTAAGCTTTTGTATTCTGCTTCTCCAGAACTTCAAGATACAGTAGTCTGCTTCTTAGATTTCCATGAAACCAATGAGTCACAAACTTTGACTAAATAACCTGTAACTGATTTTCTAGTTAGAGGACATGCAGCCCAGTCTGCATCTCAATAAGTTGTAATTGTGTTACTTTGAGAACTTGAT